CTCTAAATCCCAGCTACACAAGAGACTGATATAGAACAGGGGGTTAGGAAAGCACTCTCTAATGATGCTATTGAGCAGTCACTGGGGGTGGTTTTCTGGAGGAACAGTGCTATTATAAGCACTAGTGTAAGGAACCAGCAAAAAGGCCAGAGGGCCTGAAGAGTGAAGGAGGGCAAGAAGACAGGTGATAAGGTCAAAGGAAGGAGAGCTCAGGCAGAGATCATTACTGACCACCATGAGGAATTTGACTTGGACTGGGAATGATATTGAGGGTATCACAAAATTCTGAGTGAAGGAATGCCATGATTTAACTATATTTAAAAGGATCACTCTTTCTTTTATCAGGATAAGGATGGAGTAAGGAGATCATATAAAAGACACTCTAACAACCAAAGAGCCAGCATGGGGACACTGTTCTCAATCCTTCCTCTGTTGCCTATGAGAGAACTTGGAAGACTTCTTTATCTCTGTATGCTGCCCCTGTGTAACACCACTTAGAAACTCCAAGAACAGAAACAGCCCCAGGTTTATCAGACACAACACACCAAGAACACACCACCTGTAGCACTCTCTCCTGACCCACAAGAAAATGGGGGTGCAGGTGGGGAAGGCACAAAACTTCAAGAGGAGGAGAACCTAATTCCCACAGCAAGGACTCTGTGGTCCAAACAGAGGATTTGTGAGGGTCCTTTATGATCTTAACTTGTTCCAAAAATATCCCAGTACCCTGCCTCACACACCCCATGATCACTTTAGGAAACAAAATAAGTATAATACATAATAACAGTTGACTTTATGTCCCATGGAAACTAGAGAAAAACTCATACAAATTTAAAAGGAATCCAATGGAGAGGCTCCTATGAATCCAAACAAGAGAAGTAGGTATCAAGACATGGAGGAGTGTGTGTCTGTGGGAGTCAGGAGGACAACACTGGCAGATGCCCTAGGGAGTCCTCACCCTTTGTCTCCTCTCTTCACCAAGCTGACCCCACTGTACTGTTTAGACCTTCTGTGAGAGGGTAGATAAGCCTCTCAGTCTGTCCTTCCTCTTTCTTTGTAAGACTCTCACCTCCAGTGGCTGCAGTAGGACATGGCATCATTTATTTATCTCCAAATAAAATCCAGCTATCAAACAGTAGCATATGGACCACAGGGTCTTAGTGTCCAAGTGTGTACTGTCACATTTAGTATAAGGACAGTTACAGCTATAAGATCTTCAGACTTTTTACCTTCTAGAAACTTCTGTTTCACCTCCTGGATAAAATGAAGTGTGTTATCTAGTGCCAGCTGAGCCTAAGAACTAAATTCCAACCAGACCCTGCTTAAACAGCAGCAAGGTCTTTCCAGTCACAAACCCAAGACATTGAGGTATTAATCAATAAAATATAGGAATACTGGTTCAGGAGGGTTTCTGACCAAGTACAGACTTCATTCCCTTCTTGTAAAAAACAAACTTATTCATAGACACCAGGATGCAAGCAGAAGGTTGAATAGCAATTTCTCCCTGTACTTATCACCCATCCCTGGCTTAAACAACTACTATACTACTAACTTTGAATATGATCCACCAAATATTTACTCTCTGAATATAAATTAAATGTGTAGCTCAAAATCAGATATTCACTCTTGTCAGCCTCCTATTGAGTGTTAGAAATGGACAGATCTAGTGGCATAAAATCAGCAACAAACTAGATCAACTCACCAACAGGATCAATCAAGTGTGTGTAATTGAATATAAAAACTACAGCCATAGACATTTTGTTCAACAATGGACTGATTCTGTGATGTTCCCATCAGATTATAACAGAGCTGGAAAATCCCTGTTGCCCAGTGACATGACAGCTGTCATCTGTTGTCAACATCATGGCAGCTGTTCTAGCAAGTGCACTACTCATTAAATTTGGGGTGTTGCTGGTATAAATAACCTATAGTACTTCTGTCATAAAAGTATAGCATGGAAAGTTATGTACCATACATAACACTCAATAGCAATGGTAAATGATGATGGTACTGGTTACATGTTTACTATTCTATAGGTTTTCTTTCTTTCTTTCTTTCTTTCTTTTTTTTTCTTTCTTTCTTTCTTTTTTGTGGTACTGGGGATTGAACCCAGGGTCTTGTACATGCAAGGCAAGCACTCTACCAACTGAGGTATATCTCCAGCCTACTCCTACTATATCTCCAGTCTACTCCTACTTAAAAATAAGAGTAAAAAAAAAAGAAGGCAGGAAGGAAGGAAGGATGGAAGGGGAGGCCCACTTATTCCTCTATAAAATTTAGATTTATCTACAAATAAAACCCAGCCATCAAGTGGTAACATATGGACCACAAGGTCTTAGTGTCCAAGTGTATACTGTCACTCTTAGTATAAAGACAGTTACAACTACAATAAACCATCTCAGAAAGTGCACTTAGAATATGCGCTACTCCATGCGTTATGGACAGCACTGAGAGTGCTGTTCATTGTCATTTCTCAGTCCCCTCTGCATCCTCAGGTGATACACACAGACACTTCCCTCAAAAATAATTGCCCTAAGAACAGACACATAGACCAATAGTACAGACTTGAAGACACAGATACAAACTTACTCAGATACAGTAACCTGATCTTTTTTTGACAAAGGTGCCAAAAACATACATGGGAGAAAAGATAGCCTTTTTAGCAAACAGTACTAGGAAAGCCGGTAGCCTATATATAGAAGAAAAAAAATTAGACTCTTATCTCTTATCCCACATGAAAATCAATTAAACATGAATAAAAAATATAAAAATTAGACCAGGAACGATGCAATTTCTAGATGAAAATGCAAGGTCAATACTCTAGCAATATACACACTGACAATGACTTTCTCAATAGGACCTTAAAGCTTAGAAAAAAATGTCAAGAGTTAATAAATGGGATAGCATCATTTAAAAAGATCCTGCACGGCAAAAGAAACAATTATGTGAAGACAGAACCTAGAAAATGGGGGAAAAAATCTTTGCTAGCTATGCTTCTAACAGAGGAATAATGTATAGAGAACTCACTAAACTTAACACAAAAACAACAACAAAACCCAAAATAATCCAATCAATAAATGGGCAAACGA